GAAAGGAAATGTTTTTACGATATAATATCGACGAGATGAGACGTAATGCGATGAGATTATATTATTCAGGTTGAAAATAGCGTAACTTGTAAATTTTCTAATTTTGTCGAAAAGAAAGCTTTGAAAAATGTTGATTTTATTTTCTCCTCGACTCATTTTCATCCGTTTCCTTTTGATCGCATCGCAATTACGAGACATTCTAAATAGAGCTAATGATATCGAAAGAATCTCTCTTCGTATAATTTTGTCGCGGAAGGAAAAAAGGTGAGTAGAGATTATCAATTTCTTTTTTTCAAGTACGTAATCTATATGCTCCGAGAGACGTAAGAGACGCAAGAGTCGTCGCGTCGCGTCGCGTCGCGAAAAATTTGTCGTCAATTACGGCAGCTCGCGCGATTATCCGCGGAAGAGCCAATTAATGATAATTAATACGCGTTATCGCGCGCTCCCGGATTATTCGCGCGCGTTCGGTTAACTTTACGTATTGACGCTCCGCTCGAGTCCGTCCGGGCTTAATTAGGACCGAAACTCATTAGAGCTCGCGAATGTCTCTAATTTGTCAGTCGGGGAGACGCGCACCCGAGAATGCGTACGTTTCGTCCCGAACGAAACGATTAAACGCGGCGTCGTCTGTCGGTAACGTATGTGCAATTATAAAGGCGCTGCTTGCGGATGACATTCTTGATGAGTAATCGAGTAATAATCCCGCGGCGAGCAAGAGAATGCGACATTTCTTTTTCCACCGTCTGTGATTCTACTCTATGATATCGGGGGCGATTGTTGCCGTCGCCGATTCAGGCTTTCGACAAAAGGTAAGCAACGATCGAACGCAATCAATGTCGATACGTCGTAATGTAATTGTCGAGCCACGTATCTTTACAAAGAAATGAAACGCAACAATTTGCGCGGAAACAGCGAGGTCGAAACGAGCGCGTTGACCTTCGGTCGCACCTCCGGCTTGCGTAAGATGTGCATAAGATTGCGAAACGGACACGCCGTAGCTTACGCGCGCCAAAAATTGGACCGGTTCGACACGTTGCTTTTCCTCGGTGCTAACGGTATATCGGCTGCTATCGCTTCCACCTCCTACAGGTCGTTCCAGGTGAATACGCGCAACTTCCTTGTCTCTCTCTCTCTGCATTTTTATTTTCCCCGCGATATTACGCGGATAGTTTTCCTTCCTCTTTACCTCTAACGATACAAGTTTGCCGACACGATTTCTCTCCCCTCGTATGAAATGCAAATGTATAAATTGTGAATGACGGGAGAATAGAATAGTATTCTCGCGTTGGCAAAACGAACAGCGAATGGTTGCGCTGATCTCGGCTACGTAATAAAAATGTATAGAACGTGATTAAAATGGTGATGAAAAGAAGGAACGTCATAATTTGGATAATTTTCCCTAAATCCATAACGCGTTTATTTATAAAACAACTCGATGTTAAAATAACATATATAATAACGTATATTGGCGAATCGTTGCGGTTGAGAGACCCTGCGACCATTTTCATTCTCTCGAGTAGAGAGGCGAGTTGCATTTTTGTACGTTCGCTGCGGCAGTTAGGCTCTTTTCCCCGTTTAACGGTAACCGCGGTGAATTACGACCGCAGGATTCGCTCCTTGGAGAGAATCCTCGGACAAGACCGTCCACCGGTAAATCCTCGCTCAGGAGGTCAGCGGGTCGTTTGGCGAATCTTTTCCCACATCTCTTTCTCGCTTCTCCTTGAACAGAGACGGAACGGTTATTAAGCTGGGAATCATTTTGATCGCGTTTACGATTATTTCCACGATCGATTAATATTTCCTTTGTTTTACGTCGCACGACTAATTAATCGAGCAGGCTTTTCGCCTTTTGCAAGTTTTACGAAAAGTACTAAAGTTTCTTTTCCTCCTAGTTGATATAAATTGAAAATGATAGAAAATATGTATATTTCCTTTCTTAAAGAAAAATAACGACTCGAGGAATATAAAGGAAAAAGCGAATATGAGAATGCGACGATAATTCCCCACGTGCGAAACATTGATTGTAATAAGCGAGTATAGGAGTGGCCGTCGACAATAAGACGAGGAATCCGCACGCGGATCGACGCACACATAGAGGCGAAATTCATGCAACGTTATCCCGTTAGCCGACATTCATCGGCTTCGACATCATCTCCGGATTCCCTCGTCTCGCTCCTCTCTTTCCTCTTGTCCTCTCTCGGAGAAATGGCCGTTCGCCAATAAGAGATGTCGGAGAGAATGGGCTCCGTCCATTTCGCTCGTGCTAGACTGTAACGGAACCGAATCGAACGGAATCGGCCGACTAAATTTGCCGCGGTCTTATCGATCATGGGACGCCATGGGCCTTGGTAAATGGTCCGCGCGCGACGACACTTTTTCCTCCCTTTTCCTCCCTTTTCCTCCCTTTTCCTCCCTTTTATAAATGTCGGGAAAACAAATCGGTCCGATTTATGGCGCGTGCGCTACGCCTCGTCTCGCGAGGGACTGACGGAATAATGAAAAGGTAATGAAAAAGTTGGTCCTCGCGACGCAAAATTCTCTCGGTCGCTCTTTCGAAACGTGTGGGAATTGAAAAAAAGAGAGCCCCGCTCGAGAAAATGACGGCAAATTCCAGCGTCCAATCGCGTTGCGTAATGCATCGTCGAGTCCTGGCACGCGCGACTTAATGGGCACGACCGACGTGTGTATCTGCGTACGTGTTGTACGCGCGCATACCGCTACGAGATATTTCATCTCGCAGCGGAGCGGAGAGGAGAGGAGAGGAGACGGTCGATTCTCTATCGTTCGTTCACCCCGTATACATTCCTCGACGACAACGACGTTTTTGCCCCGCAGCTGTCTGTCAAACTTACATAAGAATGTATCGGTTTATACGCCACGATCGCTGCTCCCCTTCCCTTTCTTCGACAAAGGTGCTCACAAATTTTCCTTCGCGTAACATTATCAGAGTTTACATTTACAAGAGGAGGCTTGTGGCTACTTACTTATCCACGAGTCTCTTTTTTCAAAAGATGCGTAGAATTAATTAATAACGTCTCTTAAGAGATTCAAGGATGACAAACCTTGTAGGGTGACGAGAAAAGATACTTTAGGCATTGTTATCGAAGCTATTTTTATCGCAGAAATTTGTTCCGCATTTTAAAATCTACAATTTGTAAAATCTACAATTTGTAGAAACCGCTTCTCCCTCCGTCAAGAGATTTGGGCTGAAATATTTTTCAGAAATTATTTAAATATCTGTAAAAATGTTGCGAAATTTGCGGACGATATAAAGGAGCGCAATTATTTTTTGCAAATTGAAGGATAATTCTCGAGATTATTTCGCTTTAAATTTCGTACGCAATTAGAGAGATTAAGCGTATATACATTCAGATGTATAAATTAAACACTGAACATTACATGCGTACATGTGTAAATACCGGTCGGGCTACGGTGAATCGATTTTACGAGTTGTTGATGAAGTCGCGGATTGAAAAACGCTGGCTCTCGCGTAATGACGTGGATTTTCCGGATACGAATAAAAGGATGCGAAAATATAATTGACGCGCTATCGAATCAACGGTGTTATCGTTACCTTGCCACCCACCCACCCACACGCACGCGCGCGCGCGCGCGCGCGCACGCACGCACGCACGCACACGCGACGGCCTCTACTCTCCTTACACTCGACTTTCCTCTTCTCGCCCGGGGGCGATACGGAAGGCCGGGGGTGAGCCGAGTTTAATTTAGCCGTCACGCTCTTACCGGGATCGATACATCGTAACCGCATCAACAGAGTTACGCCTCGTGAGTGCCACGAGGCTTAACTTGGACGAGCGACGCGATGCGACGCACCGAAAGGAAAGGAAACCCCAAACCAGATTTCACTTCCGGAACGACGCCGTCGAGACGTCGAAGCAATATGGCGGAAGCTACCTTGAAGGAAGCAAGGTTGGAGCGATCCGTGTTTTTTTTTTCTTGCGGGAAAATAACAAAATATCAAGGTTGACTCTCACCCGAGATTACGAAATTTACATTCTTGGAAAGTCGCGCTACGAGTTTTCTTTAATTAAGACACGCGAGGAGTTTGCAAACACTTGAAACTTTACGCTGATTTTACCATCGAATCGAGTCGAAGCTAAAGTTTTCAGCTTGTAGCAATTTTTCGAAAATGTAGGGAAAAATCTTGACTCAAAGTCAGTCAAAATTTTCAAACCTTTTACATCTTCGAGATTTATCAGCGGAATATCAATTGCCAGATTATATATACAAGAGCGGACGAATGCAAAGATACGAGCAAAGAGAATTTTAATTTTTACATCTTGCATTCCCCTTTTATCCCTATTCCAAACTCCGCTAGCCAAGTTTCGTCAACGTGCGGGATGCCTAAAGTTTGATAGGCAATTTATGCTATCGCGCTACCAGTTGTCTACTGCTAAACAATTTCTCTATTCACTATATCGTAATCAAAAGTCCATTATAACTTCTCTCTATCGATAAAGCGTATCGATTTTATTAAAAATATAATTACCGTCGCAGAGAGTTCTGCCATCAATTTATGCTGCTACGTCACGTATCTAGTTTACAATAAAATAAAAGATATTTTTTTTCTCGGAAACACATGTACGGGCATATTTTATATATTTGATCGCGTCGGCAAACGGATTCTTTTTCCCGGACAGATTTGTAATTTAATATACATTCTCAAATTGAATAAACTTAACTTTTATTACACCGACTAAATTTTTCCAACACACTACATAACATACTCGTCTTTTTCGATTCAACTGTGCTATTTAAACAGATAATACGTTATGCATTTCTTTAAGGCATTAATTTTATCGCCCGATATATTTTTGCTACAAGAATTTCAATGATTTATTAAGTCGTTTGCCCGCAACTTTTGTATCGGCAAGGCGCGCATCGTGTTTAACGCTTCTTTCAAGAAATGAGAAATTGTTTGTCGCTCTTCATCTTTAGGATATATTCGAGTGAAATATCTTTCTCTATTTTTCTAGAACATTTTGGACAAGTTCAACCCTGGCGCCAGGCAGCTGATTAACGCAGGCAAGGCGTATCTGAAGGCCCTTCACGGTGAGTGAATTAAATCGAGCGCGACCGAAAAGAGAGGTTGAAACGAGGCGGGGTGGAAAGAAGCACGAGAAACGGGGACAAACTCGCCGTTAGTCCCTTGGGAGTCCTCTCGTAGGATCGAATTGCCAACTTGTGTTAGCGTTGCAAGCTTCTACCCCGCTACCGATTGATTTACCTCGTACGTAGATATTGGAGATTTAATAATATACTCAAGGTCTCTCTGTAAAGGATAAACACACATTTCTAATCTTCCATATCTTTCGAGTCGACATTTCATTCAAGAATTACCTTAAAGATATACGAGTATATCATTGTTGAATTGACGAAAATAGTTGGTATCTCGTCGTAAGAAATCTTGCTCAATTAAAATTCCATCGATGAAAAGCTTTCGAGCTTGATTTCGTTGCGCGCTGTACATTTCTCGAGAAAAGACTCGAGGTGCGAAAGATAGAAAGTGGAATATCCCAGGGACTCCTCCGTATCCCACTTTCTATATTTCGCATCCTGGGCCTTTCGTGGCCGGGTCGGATCGGTCACTCCTCCGGGGATTAACCCGCTGACCCTGAAACGAACGTTGGTGCGTCGTTGGTCGTCGATGTGGGTCGCGCGTGCCACTCGCGCGGGATATCCATCCTCCCCTTTTCCCCGTGCGACGTGTTCTTGTCGCAGGTAAATCATTTTGCCGTGAGAAACTAGAAATGTCGATTCGCGCGACAGCCTTAGCGTAAAAGGCTCGAGCTTTGCGTAAAAGGAGAAGCAACTCTTAAAGACGTTAAAGACACGCAACTAGGAGGTACTATATAATTGGTATAATTAGTAGTGTTTTTTCTCAACCACCGATAAAATTTTGCAATTAAAATGTTAACTGACGGAATCGCAGAGTGCTCGAGAATATTCCGCGCGGGTCTCGTTGAAAATTTGTTTAAGGAGAGCGCCCGGGAAAATAATACTCTCTCCCTGCGGCGGAAAGTAGTTTGCGTAACGGCACAGTCGACCTTACATTAAAAGTGACTTAAAAGTTTGCCGCCGACCTTTGATATAACAGTATTAGCGTGTCGAGAGAGATGCTCCCGCGGAGGACGGGGAGACACGTCACTTCCGGCGGATGGAAATCGATCGGGTATTCTAGCGCGACCCCGTGTATATAAAATTGCGATATATATATATATATATATATATATATATATATATATATATATATAAATTCATTTTCCTCTTCATTCTCCTCGGATTTTAATTTTTGCAATTTTCCAAACTTGGCCCCTCTTCCAAACTGTGTATCGTCGTTTAAAACTATTCCGCGACGCACGGTCGTTTCTTGCCTCTTGGAATATCCTGGAAAAGTTTTACTTTGGAATAACCGAGAATAAGAGATAAATTATGTTATTGCTATCCGATGGGGCAGGTTTCGGAGATGGCAAAACTTGGGGAAAAACAAATAAACGTCCGCGAAAGAGGAGTGCACTGTCGCGTCGGCGATAAGATTTCGCCCCTGAAGAAGAGGTAGACGCGACGAGCGACGAGCGACGAGCGACGAGCGACTCGACGCCGCTGGCGGCAACTTTGCGCGGTTCGTTTGATGAAAAAGTTGGAACAAACAGAGAACCGCGATAATTTCTTCGACGACGGTGCAAACTTTTTTATCTCGACGCGATTATGGTTGCGAAAGACTCGAGGGCAAGGAAGAAGCGGGCTGGGGTGGCCGCCAGAATCGCACAAAGGACGCTGCAAAGGACTTCCTTAACGAGTTGCCGCGCCGGGAATGAAAGCTAATTCGATTAGGAATTAATTTTTGACGAGACAAAGGAGAGATTTCTTCGAATGGCGAACGGGAAAGGAAGGGGCTGAGGGAAAAGGCTGGCAACTAGAGCGAAACCGAAGGCTCTTCTTTGAACGAACGAATCGCATTCGATTCTCTCCCGGGGAGACGCGGACAGATTTTTAATTCTCCGTTACATTAATGGGGGAGAGGGGGTTTCTGTTCGATCCATCATTCATCTTTTCAACGATTTTTAATTGTATTTTCGAGAGAATGATAATTGTTTCGAAAAATATATTTCCCGATACATTTTCCAACATTGTTGAATAAAAATATCTACAAGTAATGTAATTGATAAATGTAATGTTTAAAAATTGCCCGATATAATTTTACCAAGTCCCAAGAGGAATTATCAATTTTTCAAAGTGTCCAGTACTTTTAACAATTAACATGTTTCTTCGATATTTTTTCTTTCGCATTTTTTTCAAATTTGTTTCCATTTTAAAAACGTGGACCACCAAGTTGTGGCAGAGCACTATCAAAATGCGATTCGTTGGCTTAATTCGCGTAATTAATTTGTTCCACCGGAAGAAACTCCACCGATTGTCGAACTTGCATCCAGTCCCACTCTCTCGCTGTATTATTGCGCTCGTATCAGGAGCCGAGGACTCTGCGACAATTTATATAACGAGTCGTTGAGGCACTTTGAGGACTCCGCTCAAAATCCCGCAGCAACTCGGTCCTTGCTTCCTTCCTTCCTTCCTTCCTTCCTTCCTTCCTTGTCCTCTTCCCGCTTTCTCCGATTCCCCCCGCGTCATCCCTTTGCTTCCTAAGGACGCCACTTAAATACCAAGAGTTCCGCATTTCCAGTCGATTGAAGAATGCACGGAGCGTTCTTTAGAATATCATTCTCCCTCTCCTTCCCTTTTAAGAAGCGCATTAAGGAGCGCTATGAGACGAATGGAATTTTAGAATGCTGTCGTTTAAATAACTCCTGTGTATTTTAATAATAATAGGAACAATAGTAACATTGCTAATTTCATAATAACAACAATATTGCTAATAATATTGTTAACAATGATAACAATAATAATAATAATAATAACAGTAATGATGATGATGATGATAAAATATATACATGTAATTACAGATGTAACATTAAAATTATACGCGCAACCAAATCACGTAACAACGTATATAAATACGGTATTATTATTCGTAATAACCGTTACTTGCAATTAGATTCGTTCGAGGCTCTTTTTTCCTCGCGGCGGGCAAGGATCGCGGAGAATCCGCGACTCGCCGCGAATGTTATTTGAAAAGTTTTCTCGTTAAATAGCGCAAAAATGCGCGCAGAGACGTCGTTGAATATGGACAGGGAGGAGGATGACAGCGATCTCGGGGAGCAAGGAGGGACGAACGGGGATGAACGTCCGCACGGTACGGACAATGACGAGCGAGCGAGTACCGACTGATTTTAATTATGGAATCTGGTGCAGGTGAAACGCTCAATTTTCCCGCCGGCGTATCTCTCTCTCTCTCTCTCTCTCTTTTTCCACGCTCCCTCCCCGCTCCAGATTCGGCCCCGTGGGTTCCTGCAATTTCAATTTCGCGCCATCTCTTTACCTTTCGCCCCCTCCCTCTCTTTCCCGGCCGGTGTCGCTCTTTAATATCGATTTCCTCTCGAAGGGTCGAAAATATCGCGAGTATCGAGTTACGCGCGCCCTGTCAAACCTCATCGTTTGTTTCGCGCTTTGGGATCCGCCATTAGGGCCGACGAGGATGCGACGTGTTCGTCATCCGTGCTCGTATACGAGTATAATAAACGACGGTAATGCAGTCCGACGGCGAAATATTGAAATCGCTTCGATCGCAAAGCGAGAAGAAATATTATTCGGTATTAATCAAGGCGGGTTTCTCCCACATCGTTTCATTACAGATACTTCATCGCGATTTTCACTCGCGTTACCGTCTCTTGTATCGCTTTGGCACAGTTATTCTTTTAATTGGTAGGTAAATTATCAGACTTGACCGCCGCATTGAATTTATCGCGACTTTCACGACCGTCATTCGAGTTTGTAATTTCGCGAGAAAATTTCTCGAGATTCTTGTCGAAAGAATTTTCTCTTTACTACGAGAAATGTTACACTGTCTCTGAAATGTTACATCTCTCTCTCTCTCGCGCGCGCGCGCGCGGAAAACTAACACTATACGGCTTTAATTAATAATGTTAATTTTTCTTGGCAGAGATATTTGTCGAGGCAAAAAAACCTGATAAAAATCTGATTTAACTCTTTCAAGTTTCCAAGAGATGGAGAAAATTCTAATTTAAAAAATCGGTATTTCTAGGGCACTCTGTGTACACGCTTCAATATCGCGTATTTAACGACGCCAGGCACGATGTATAAAATCTAACGGTTAATGTATTCCGTTCGCGTTCTCTCGCGTAACTGCAGTTTGCGCTACGGCGAAAATCTCACCGCGCGGAAAAAGCGGCGGAAGTTATTTTCCCGAATATTACGCGATCGAGGGAGAGGAGGGGGACGCGTTGCGTGAAAATGACTTCGCTTTGCATAAAAAACGTTCGGCCCCGCCGACGCGCGTAACGCGCATAAATAAAGCGTGTAATAAACGCGAGGGAGATGAATTATGCGCGGGAGATAAAGAGCGCGCGGTCCCGCGCGCAAAACTGACACGGCAAGATGAGCCGGTGAAGTTTGGCGAGGCGAGCGAGATATATGCACGCGTATCCGCGTCAAAAGTGACGCGCGCGGCCTTATCGCGCGCGAAAACTCGGCTTTTGATAAGCGAAAAATGGCGCGGCGCGCGATCATTTCAGCGAGTCGTCGTAATCAAGCGGGGGAGAAAATGTCTCTTGTACATAAATTGACGTGTCGTGTCTGAAAATTGTTTATCGCTACGTTTGGCCGAAATTCCCGATGACTCGATGACTTGGTCGCGAAATTATCGCGCGATCGGGAGAGAGAAGGATGCGTATGTACTCGACGGATGCGTAATTCCGCTTTTAACGATAAGTGGATTTGGATGTTGGTCGAATTACGATAACGATCGCGATCGCGATCGCTCGGGCGCGGGCGCGCGCGCGCGCGCGCGCGCGCGGGCGAGACGAGGTAAATGGAACTTCCGCTCGAGCATCACCTGGAATTCGCCGGCATCACCCCCGTTAATAGCGAATACCTTACGTATCCGCGTCGGAGCGGACACCTGCATACCGGGTGTA